GCACTAAGTCCTAACTAAAGGATTGATTCATCCTCACTGGCAAAGGTCTCGCAAACTGCACCCTTCTGCACCAGCAAGGGACACTGTTCCCCGGGAAGAGAGGCGCTGCTTGTACCTCCTTCCTCCCCCAGGGACTGGTCTAGGAAGATATCTTTAAACTGAAGATGCAGCTCCACAGGAGCCCAGCCACTGCAGAATGTCAAGGGCATATAATGAGTGCCCTGGCTCTGCCTCCTCACTACCACCACCACCCACTTTTCAGTCTACTAATCAGGCTTCAATACACGCAGAACCATTTTGTGTTTTATGAAATGTGGCATGAAAATTACATTTTTTTTTTAAAATGGAGATATCCCATCTCCTAGAACTGGAAGGGACCTTGAAAGGTCATCGAGTCCAGCCCCCTGCCTTCACTAGCAGGACCAAGTACTGATTTTGCCCCAGATCCCCAAGTGGCCCCCTCAAGGATTGAACTCACAACCCTGGGTTTAGCAGGCCAATGCTCAAACCACTGAGCTATCCCTCCCCTGCATATAGCAGAGGCATAAATATAAGCAGGCTTTGTGGCATGATTGCTGAAAGTTCCAGAAGTTCCATAGATTTATCCTAGATAAAGCAGTATGGTAAAGACACAGTGCTATATTTTTCCATATCCTTTTTATGTTTTAATTTATTTATTGCTGCAGCTTCCCAGGAGGATTCAGATCAAAACATTCAAATTCACCAATGGGCACCGTCCTGTTTTTATTTTTGGATATGCCTCTCTCATACAAGCGGTCAATTGATGCTTTTATTTTTATCACTAGTGCTGGATTTTGAAGTGGGGGTTCCTTAAAGGTACAGCATAGGAGGAAAACATTAGCAGATGAATACAGTTAACATCCGAACTTTCCCACTTGTCCGGATGTAGTTTAACTTAATCTAATCTGACATAAAGTGACATGCTGGCAAACTGATGTGTTTCGCTATCCAAAGCGGACACGTTATTTTGACCAGAAAAAACTCATACATTTCTTGTGAACCCAGGAATGTTAATGTTAACAGCTTTTAAAAGTCCAGCCTTCTACTCCTTTGAGAGAAATATTATCCCTCATTAGCTCAACTGGATTTATTTTAATGTCTGCCCTTGCATCTGCACAAAGTGAGAGAAGGGAGGAATCTAACCAGGGAATAGACTCTTTAAACTTTACAAAGAAATAAAAGCCCTGTTTCAGGTGGATCTTCTCTATTTTGGGCACGGGTGAAAGGAACTTTCTCCTTGTAACAAAAGCCAACCCCCCCCCACCCCACCCCAAGCAATAGCACATACTTGCTGAACTGATTTCCCTAGCAATGATTTTAGCACAAAGATCTGATGTGATTTTCACATAAATTAACAAAGCTAAGAATTGTTCCCCCTTCCTCTTGTAAGTGACTATTAAAATATATTTTGGATAGTAAAGAGAAAAAGAAAAGCAAAATACAGAACTGTTAAAAGAATAACTGGAAAATATATTAAGAATATGATTCTTATCTCAATGTACTTGGGATTTACGTGTGTGAGCCAGCCACTTGTATTAATGGGTCATAAGAACTTAAAAACGGCAATACTGGGTTAGACCAAAGGTCCATCCAGACCAGTATCCTGTCTACTGACAGTGGCCAATGCCAGGTGCCCCAGAGGGAGTGAACCTAATGGGAAATGATCAAGCAATCTCTCTCCTGCCATCCATCTCCACCCTCTGACAGACAGAGGCGAGGTCTACACTACCCGCCTGAATCGGCGGGTAGAAATCGATTTCTCAGGGATCGAATTATCGCGTCTCGTCGGGACGCGACAATTGATCCCTGAATCGACGCACTTACTCCACCAGCAGAGGTAGGAGTAAGTGCTGTCAACTGGGAGCCGCGGAGGTCGATTTTGCCGCCGTCCTCACAGCGGGGTAAGTCGGCTCCGATACGTCGAATTCAGCTACGCTATTCACGTAGCTGAATTTGCGTATCTTAAATCGACACCCCCCACCCCCCCCGTAGTGAAGACTTGCCCAGAGGCTAGGGACACCATTCCTTACCCATCCTGGCTAATAGCCATTAATGGCCTTAACTTTCATGAATTTATCTAGTTCTCTTTTAAACCCTGTTATAGTCCTAGCCTTCACAACCTCTTTGGGAAAGGAGTTCCACAGGTTGACTGTGCTCTGTGTGAAGAAGAACCTGCTGCCCATTAATTTCATTTGGTGGCCCCTAGTTCTTATATTATGGGAACAAGTAAATAACTTTTTCTTATTCACTTTCTCCACACCACTCATGATTTTATATACCTCTATCATATCCCCCCTTACTCTCAAACTTGTGTCTCAAACTGAAAATATTGTGAATAAAAGAGCAATATACCAAATTTCTTGTAGGATAGGAAATGCTAAAATATTTTTCTGTACCACCCCAAATACATCTGTATCTCATTTTCTTCTATTCCTCTAACCACTGCCTAAGCACCACCCATGCAGCTCTTTTTAATACCATATTTGTGGCTTTCTCCCACTCTCAGATTTGTACATACTTTAATAGCCAACAAATACCACTACTGCTCTTTCTTCAGCTCTCTCCTAAAATTATTACTTCCACAACACCCATCAATATCAATTCATCAGATCAAGATGTGTGATTACAAAAAGATACATGTACTGCTTAGAGATTAGACTATCTACTGGCTCACTTGTCTTCTGGTACATTATGCATCTGAACATTATTGTCTGTGTAATTTAGAATATAAGATCCTTATGTCACATAACATATTTATAAGAACAGTTAAGTTTCTAAAGCTCAAGAGTCAACTTTTCTGGCGGTCCTGTGGCACCTTTGAGACTAACAGAAGTACTGGGAGCATAAGCTTTCGTGGGTAAGAGCCTCACTTCTTCATCTGATGAAGTCTGTTAGTCTCAAAGGTGCCACAGGACCCTCTGTTGCTTTTTACAGATTCAGACTAACACGGCTACCCCTCTGATACTTAACTTTTCTGGCAATACTGTCAAGTTACTTTGCATATTTACTAGGATGTTTTACTCATGCATATTATTTTTATTCTAAAACTTTCATTAAGAAGTGGCTAATTAAACTCGGTACTTTAAAGAGTTTAGGATAATGAGAAATGTAAATAGACAATAAACAAAACATGCCCCAAATCATGTAATATATTATATGAATTTTTCAGCTTTTTGAGGTCTTATATCTTTAGGAATCTCACTGGAGTCCTCTTTAAGTGAAATTCTATTATGCAAAAGCACAATTGCACTATTTACAAAGAAATTTAAAGCAAATGTTAAGATCTAAACTACATTAACTGCAAACTTTTAGCTGTTTTCACGCGTGGATTTGAAATAAGTGAAAAGAAGAGTAGTCTTTATAAATATTCAAATTAAAGAGAGTGCTTTAATGCTTTAAGTAAAAATACTATGCAGCACACTACAAAGCAGATTAGAGAAGCTTTTCTACCATGATAAGAATTTATTGCTGTATAATATAGGGCCATATCCTAGTACACCGGTAGTTAATGGGATGTTTGCTATTTTCTCCCAACATATTAAAAAAGAAGCAAAAGGAAGTTCTACGGCCTGTGTTATACAGAAGGTGAGACTTGATCCTAGTGGTCCTTTCTAATGTCGGAATCTATAAACCTATGAAAAAGAAGTGCTTTAGGCTGCTTAAGAATCTGCTTTAAAAATACTTTTCTTTTTTTTCTCCCTCTAGGTTATGCGAATTCATACAATTGCCTAAGCTGGCCTCTAGATGGTACAAAAGAATCTACATCTAGGAATCTCTTTTCTGATATACATGTGAAGATTTATATTCCCTGCACCATATAGCTACTTAGATCATCCTCCTAAAGTCAGCAATCCCAACATTACAAAATGTAGTTGTGCAATAAAATGTCGAAAAATATAAGTGCCAGAAACTGAACGTAACGTGCCAATGTACTTAATGTACCAACTATTGTATGAAAACAGATACATATATAGTTGTGAGACTCTATTTTTCAATTGTTTTAACGAATTGGTTTAAGACAAAAAATGATTAATTCTGCCTCATCAAGTGTTCTTTCATTTTCAATTTAAAATAGCTGAAAGTAACATGAAACTTACTATAGACAACATGAAAATTAAAGAGTTAGATTTAATTGAATTCAATTAAATATAATGGCCATAAGCATTATTTATCATAAAGGCAATCTGAAGTCACAACCCAGTGGAACACGTACTAATGAATAAAATACTTTCATGATTTCATATCCTTTCCATTTTTTAAATAAGATTTTCTCTTGTATGTTTTACATCCAATAGCTATTTATTACAGAGGTGCTGTGTGGAAACTTCAGACACCAGCATGTTACATTTTGATCCAAGCGTCCAGGCTGCGTGTATGAGCATAGAACTGCTGTGTGGTATATAAGCACAGGATATACCTCTATATTATTGAAGGTAAGGAAGGTTCATGCAATTTGCCTAATATTATGCAAAGCAGGCATGATCCTCAACCTCCTGGCAAGTTGACAAAGTAGCCCTCAGTTCAAAGTAAGTGCATTGACAATGACAATAATGTACGTACACTCTCTACCAATCAAGAGGTAGTAATGTTGTATTTGATATCTTCTTGTCTCCACTGCCACAAACGTGTGTGCATGTTCCGGGTGATGTACTGCCAATTCCCTTAGTCCGTGGGTCATTCTATCTTCTGGGTTTCTCTTATCTTTTTAGCCTGAGAACCCCTCTCTTTCCCACTGTGGATTACTCCTGCCTAAAAAGGCACATTGTTGTTCATCTCTCACACAGAGAAGCCTCTAAGGCCAATCAAATTTACTTCATGCTTTGACTCTCAAAGACTGAACATGGATTTTCCTGACATTACACTATTTTCCTAAAACTATGTTAAATTATTTGTAATGTGGAAGAGCAATTGCAACAACATCTGTCAGCAGAAAAGTGCAGCACTTGTCTATAATTAAATAATGTAGATAGGTCTCTTACCTTGCATAGTAGTCCTTTGGGGGAACAACTTCCTGAAAGAATTGTAACTGGTACAGATAAAGTCCGATCAAGTGCCCCGCACTGTATATAGCCATTAATACACACAGACAGCTGAATATCAGCGGATCAAATGCTAGGCAACAGGACCACCATGTACACAGCCCCAAAAATACAAAGAAATACACAGCTGATGTCAAAGATGGCAACATCATGCCTGCAAAAACAAATATTGAGGATACTTTGAGAATATTAGCATTAAAAACATTTATTAATCCTAAAACATTATGTAGTTTATCAAAACAATTTCAAAATAACATTTCTGTTTTGATAGTTTTTACTTATTATAGGTAACATCTCAGACCGCTATTAATTGAAAAATGCCATAAAACATATATAGATATATATATTTCATTTTGCTTACTCAATGAAAAACAACACTTGGTATGTAGCTAGGTTTAGAAGGATTAGATTTAAATTAGTAAATGTTGACTTCATACTGATGAAAAAATGTTTCCATCAGTACTAATAGACATTTACAGATAGACAAAGTAAGAAAAATGCTGCTTGATAACTTCTTAGAGTTTGATGTATTTTGACATGTGATGTTGACAATTTGTGTTTAATGGTTATAAAGCTTTAACTTTTTGAATCTCAACATCTACTGTAATTAAAGAATTATGAAATCAAATTCTGCCATGCCTTTATATAGTCAATTTCAATATTTCCTCTGAGTACTTCTTGTTCCTAGTTTGTACAGATCTTTCCCACAGTAAAAGAGGAGAGAAAAACAAGAATTTGTGTTCATAAACCCCCAAACCAGCAGGGAGACGCAGAGGTAGGTGCTGTACCTGAAAGTACTTTTAACTTCTTTAAAAAATATATTAGATTTCAAGTTGATTACATTTCTGTAAAATAATCGGTAGGATAATAAAATACTATGAGTAATGAATATGGTGTGAAAGTTTCACTTGTAATCATTGAATTTATATTACTAGAAATTTGTGTCCCAATCAGTGAGATACTGTGTAAACTGGAAATAAAAGAGCATCTACAATATATCCGGTACATGTGGTCTATGTAAGTGCCAAATATGGATGAAAAGTAATCCAATTTATACCTCATAAATATTTGTAATACTTAGTGTATACCCAGGGCTTTCTTGTATCCCATGTAGATTTTCTTTTACACACTTAAACAACATTTCATTTGTGAAGTTGCTATTTTCACTCTCATGAAATGTCTACTGTACCCTGGAGGGGGATTTGAGGAGGTGGGGATGGGGAGATGTTCATATCTAAGACACAGGAAACTGGAGGAAACAACCCAAGGAAGAATCTTTGATCCTACATAATGGGCCAAAGACATCGCCAAAGCAATCCACTGAAGTCAATGGGATCATACTAGGGATGAATCCGGCCCATTTTGCTTCAAAAATCTTGACAATTGCATACTTGAATGGAAGGTGGATAGATCCCAAGAGATCTGGGGCTCATTCATCTGAGTCTGGGTAGTCATCCCACAGCAAAGTGGCCTGCTGTCCCTCAGAAGGACCCATGCCTTGGTGCAGTGGGTCTCAAACTTTTGTACTGGTGACCCCTTTTACGTAGAAAGCCTCTTAGTGTGACCCCTCCTTATAAATTAAAAATACTTTTTATATATTTAACACCATTATAAAAGCTGAAGGCAAAGCGAGGTTTGGGGTGGAGGTTGACAGCTTGCGACCCCCCCCATGTAAGAACCTTGGGTCCCCCTGAGGGATCCCAACCAGTAGCGTAGCTAGGGGGGGAGCGGGGCAGCAGCCGCTCCCGCACCGAGCACAAGTGGCACCTTTTTAATTTTACTCACCCAGGAGCGGGAAGAAAAAAAAAGGCGCCACCCACTGCGGTGCTTTTACTGACGGGGCGGCGCTCCAGGTGTCTTCAGCGGCACTGAAACTTCATCGCCAAAATGCCACCAAAGACCTGCGGAGTGAGTGAAGGTCCTGCTGCCGAGGTGCCGCCGAAGACCCAGACCGCTGCCCCGTCAGTAAAAGCGCCGCAGTGCGTGGTGTCTTTTTTTTTTTGCTCCCCCTCGTCCCTCCATCTGGCTATGCCAGTGATCCCAACCCCCAGATTGAGAACCCCTGCCTTGGTGGATGCAGCTTTAAACTGTGTTTGGAACCCTACCATCAGACAGAAGCCACCTGATGAATGGGATTAATCAATGCATTCTCCTGCCAGCGTGCTCTCCTGGCCAGCTCCACCCATCACTCTTGAGTGATGATGTCTTCCTTTCAGCTCCCAAGCTGAGTCGGGTTGTGAACTCTTTACACTGATGAAAATCCCCACTTCCTGTTGTGTTTCAGCTGACAGGGGTCTTTCATCCTGGGTTATGTTAGCACAAGCTAACATAAACCTGGGGTGCCTGCAGCCCTTCACTGCTAAGGTGTAGGATACACAGTATTGTCCATACTAAAATTAGCTTTATATACCTGTGCTAAAAGAACCTTCCACTAACAGTAAATTGGTCTGTGTTGTATTAGCATCATCACAGGCTTGTATGTGGTACTTTAGGCCAAGCTATTGTCTCTCCTCCAGTATATAATCTGCAAGGGGGTATATACCATTTTAAAGATTCATATATTTAAAGGTCAGAAGGTTCCCTTATGATCATCTAGTCTGATCTCGTGCATAACACACGCCATAGAAACTCATCCAGTAAATCTGCATCAAGCTTATAACACTGTTCTTTCTTTTAAATAGATATTTAGTCTTGATTTAAAGTCTTCAGTGATGGAGAATCTACCACATTCATAGGTAAGTTATTCCAATTGCTCATTGCCCTTGCTGTTAAAAAACTGCACCTTTTTCTAGCCTGAAGTTGTCTAGTTTTAGTTTGCAACCATTGGATCTCATTATGCCTTTTTCTGCTAGAAAAAGGCATATCTACTATCAGAAAAAAAAACTTTTCCCTTGGCAGGTACTTTCAGACTGTGATCAATCACCTTTTAACCTCCCTCCCTCCCCCCCAACTAAACAGATTGAGCGTCTTAAATCTCGCACTATAAGACATCTTTTCCAGACCTCAAATCATTCTTATAGCTCTTTTCTGAGTTCTTTTCAATTTTTCAACACCCTTTTTGAAGTGCAGACACCAGAACTGGACAGTGCTACACTAAAGTTCTCACTAATTCCAAACACCGAAGGAATATCACCTCTGAACGCCTCTTTTATATTCTTTGCTTATATATCCATAGAATGCATTTGCCCTCTTAACTAAAGCATCACATTGGAAACTCATGTTCATTTGGTTATCTACAATGAACCTTAAGTCCTCTTCTGTGTCATTGCATTCCAAGATATTGTCTTACATCTTTTAGGTGTGACCTACATTCTATGCTCCTAGATTTGGCTCCATTAAAATGCATAATATCCAAATAAGCCCACTTTGCCAAGTGATCCAGATTGGTCTGCGTAACTCACCTGTCCCCATCACTATTTACCACTTCACCATTCTTTGTGAATCTTCTGCAACTTTTTCACCAAAAATGTTATACTTTATTCTGTTTTATTCTTTGATAAAGACATTGAATAGCATTGGGAGTACAGTCTCCTGCAGCACCCCACTAGAAACACCCCCCTAGGATGATGTTTCCTCATTTACAATTACTTTTCATGATCCATCAGCTAACCAGTTTTTAATCCATTTAATATGGATTACATTAATTTTATATAGTTCTTTTTATTAATCAGAATGTCATGCAGGAGTATGTTGAATGCCTTACAGAAGTCTAAGTATATTATGTCATCACAGTTACCTTTATCAACCGATTTCGTAATTTCATAAAAAAAATCAAATTTGAACAATTTTTATTACGGAATGTATAACAAACCAGTAAATAAAGAGTAGTAATGTTTTGCTTGCTTAATATTGTGTGACATGTGTGCATGTGTATGTGATATGTGCGACGTGTGTGAATGTGAGTGTGAGTGAGTGTTGTTAGAAGGAGCCAGCACTGAGTCTATTAATGCACATTTCACTTCTTTCCCAGTTTGGCCATAATAATAGCTTTAAAATGAATATATACAATGAGTGGGCTACTTAGTACTAGCACCAAAATAAAATAAATAAATAAATGAAATTAAGCAACTCACTGTATTTCCATGCCTGCCAAAAATTTAATTTAAATAAAAATCAGCAGCAATTAATTTTCCTTCCAAATTTCCATTGTTATTCCCCAGTGTACCAAAGGGCTGGAAATTCATTTGTACAATGCATAATTTTAGGGACTCTTGGCAAATTTATCAAAAGCACCAACCTGTTGAACCAAGTAAAATTGTAACAACAACTTTTCCAGCGGTGGTTATAATGTTTCCAATAAACTCTTTCAATTTGGAAGCCAGTGAGGCAATTCTGCGCAGTAGTTTTAATTTTGTGGTTTCTTCAAATTCCTCTTCGCTATTTTCTCCACCATCCAAATCTTCACACATTAATGCATCATCTGGCTCTAACTTTTCTCTTCCAGCCTTAGAAAGAGAGAGAAAACAATGTGAAATGAAACAAGAGACCTGTGTCATGTAGGTTATTAGTCAAGTCATTTTTATAGTGACTGACTCTATAATCACAAAATAATCCGAATAAAGAGTTGTGAAAGATATATTAGAAGTCCATTTGGATATCTAAGGCTACCACCTTAGACTTGTCTTAAGAAGAAAGAGGTGAAAAATATTTGAGAGTAAGATTTTCCCTGTCAAATGTAATCCAGCTGGTTCCTCTGGCAGGTAGAAAGTAATTCCAGTTCTACATGTTTCTATTCAAAATTATGACCACTCAACATTCTGCCAGGTTTGTTGATTAGATTTTGTTAAGTCCCTTTGAGGCACAGATCATCAGTAGTATTTCCAGGCCCTGACCATCACCCTACCAGATGATGTTCCTCAGGGTAACCTCCTTCTTGGGATCATTACCATTCCCTATTGCAGGTTCTTTCCTCCCCCCTTCTTATGAACCCAGAGTTTATCCATTGGATGGAAGGGTGTGTTAGTAGCCTTTTCCTTGATCTTTCCATGCATTAGTTAGCAAGAGGCACTGACACAATGAACAGCCATGACAACTATCAGTAGCATGCCTGGACTTAGAAATCAAAAAATCTAGGCCTTCTTCCAAACCTAGATTTGCTTCATTACACTATCAAGGCTAGTTTTCATAGCAGCGAAAGATAATTCTATATATGTAATTCTAGTATGGATGTGGCTATAAATGTTACTCTCTAAAAGAGATTAATACCAGTGTGCTATTAGCATAAATGCAAAAAGAGATCACGGATAGAAACATTACAGTAAACAAGCTTTCTTGTTTCTTCAATATATATCCACTGGTTGCACTATGTTACTCAAACCTGACTGAATCAAATTCACCAAAAGAGCATCCCAGTTGGTCCCCACATCCCCATTCTGTTTTGTTTCTATAATGTTATACTATCAATTTATCCAAAGAGGAGGCACGGCATGTGGGACTGGTATTCATGTAACAGTTCCACCGACAGAAGAGAAAGAGATGGAGAGAATCCCAGCAACAAGAAAAGAGAGAAGAAAGCGAAGTGTGCATGTGTTTGGGACAGGGGAATAGAATGAAAGAGCTATGAGGATAGCTCAGGATGGATGGATGAAAAGAGTGGGAGGAAAAGAGATGTATCATGGAAGCTCAAATAAAGAGAGATGGAAGCCTGGAAGGATGAGAGAGAGGAAGAGAATGTGAAAAAGAAAGAAGGCGAAGAAACAAATAATACAAGGAAGAGAAAGACAAATTTGAAAAAACTTAAGTGGCAATTAAACAATGAAAATGGGAGGAAAAGGAGAATTAAATAATGAAAAAAGAGAAAGAAGAAGAAGAAAACCAGAAAAGACACACACAATGGGTAAGTAATTTGTTAGGATTTGGTGGTGACCCTGGTCCAGGGAAAGATATTAAACTTTCTGAAGAACAGAAAGATACACATCATTGAGTGAAGGGGTCTTAATTGCCCTAGCCTGACACAGGATGGGGGGCATCTGCATTACCAGGAGGCCCAGCATGAATACAATTGAAGGAAAATATATTAATCCAGACACAACATAAAGGACATTTAAAAAAAAAATCTAACAATAAATGGGCCAGATCTTCACCTTGTGTAACTTGGCATAGCTCCGTTTGTTTCACTGGAGTGACTCAAAATTAAATCAGCTGAGCATCTGACCCAATTAATTTCTTTTTAATAGCTATGGGCACATGTGAGTATTATATCTAATGACTTTTCAAGAGAACAACATATTTACTGCGGCCACTGGAAATGATAAATTCGAGAGCACTGATTGGGTGGCTTCCAGTGGAAATTGCAGAACTGTTATCCTTCTGAGTATTTAACTGTACAGAATACTTCATTACAATTTTGTTAGGTGGATTCCCCAAGGGAAAGAAACTCCCTCTTGTTCCATTTCACCTTTCAACTTTTTGCCAACTTTCTCTTCCCATTAATATTGTCTGTGACTGCCCAGAAAAAGCTTGTTCCATCTAGAGTTTCTATTTTGCAGACAATGAAATATGTATTAAATGCTGTAGAGCTGGTCTGGGAAATCCTCTCTCTCAGACACATCCGGCTGTTTCACTAATTATGTCCATTATAAGTGGAGAGCGCTGGCGTCACAACCACTTTGCCATCGTCACAGTTCATTTTCATGGCTTTCAACAAACAAAGTTAATAGCTCGAGAAGCAAGGCAATCATTAGGAGGTTGCAGTGTGCACACTCAGTAAGCACTTGGGGGGGGTGGGGGGTTAGCATGGAGAGGAATTACTATTGTCTGCAGCCCTTGCTGGATCTCACGTCTAGAGAGCTCTCTAGTTGATGCTACTTTACTTAAATAATTAACCACAAAACAATGCTGCAGTTCAGCTAAATGCTGCATAATATTCTTCCTACCACTATATTAATGGGAAAGACACAGGAAAAAGAGTACAATGACACCTTTCCATGTACTACAATTACTAGAAGAACTCCTTATTTAGCCTGTTGGGTCCAGTCCTGTGTTTCCAAGCCAACTGTAGCTCTATGTTTCTTGTTTAACATGATCATTAAACGGCTAACTCTTATGTGCATGTAAAAAACAAATGAAATCAGTGGAACTTCTGGATGTTCAGGGATGTGGGATTGAGCTTTTAGTGTGCACGGACCTATATAAAGGAGGACATCTTCAGCTCTTCCATTTATTTATCTGTATCTATGGAGATACTGTTTACAACAAAAATAAAAATGTAATTTCAAAGTAACTGCTATTACAAACGAGACTGGCAACGTTCGATATAAATGACAATGTGGATTAAAACAATGAGCTCAAGGGGAAACTTTTGAAAACAGATTTTGTTTGTATATATACAAATTATGCTTTCTACTAGAGATTGGCATGTCCAGTAATCGGAGCATAGACCTTTGGGCTAAGAATTCCCAATGCCTAATCCCAGCCTGGAGAGTGACTCCTTCGATGGACTTAATTTATGCTCTTAAAGAATGCTCTTAATTTATCTTTCTTAGTTACCCCATCTGTAAATGTTTGCTAGTTCTCATGCTAGATTTTCCAAGAAGTTACAAGCTGAATCATAACATCCCCTGGCCATGCTGGCAAAATCGGTATCTGAGCAGAGCAGCACTCTTCTAGGAGACCAGAATGACAGCCACTTTCTTTCGCTATGCAGAATTTGGCATAGATGGATCTGCATAGATGAATGTGCGTAAAATGCCTTGAATATAAAAATCATTATATAAATGCTATTGCTCGGAGTCTATACTGAATAGGAAGATGTTATACACAAGCCATTTTCATTGCAAGCTAAAAAGATAGCTCTTTTAAAACAACAATAATAATGATTTAATATCCTGAATCAGCACCTTCACATATGTGCAAGAACGGGAAATATAAAACTGAACACAGAGAAAAAACACAAAACCAACCAAACAAAAACAAAACCCTTACCCTGAAGGGAACAGAAAAATGAATTTAAAAACTGGTCTTGGGGGAAAAAATGAGAATTTAAAAAGTATTAAACAAACTGCAGGAAATACACAAGACGGAAAAAAAGGGAAAAGGAAGGACGGAAAAAAGAAATAAGAAAAAAACCCCCAAGGGTGACAAGTAAGTAAAAGAAGGGAAGTTGCTTTGTTGCATAGATGGTGGAGCAGAAACCCTTTTTCTTTCTTCTCTCTTCCAACCCATCTCAGCGGCTAAACTCATCCTGTGCATATCTTCTTAACTCCTGCCAAAAATGGCCATTTGGCTTCCCTACAACACAACAGAGATCCTGTTTTTTTTCACTTCGAGAGTCTGGTCACCCTAGTTTGGCTCCCCATAGTTCTAGTCAATCTGATGCACATTCTGTCTTAATCCCCTTTAGTCTGGGTGTTGGGGTATTTGTCAGTGTGGAGGGGGAGAACCACTAGGAAGAAGAGTCTTCCTGGACTTACCAGTCCCTGCTTACTAGTCCCAATTTACATCTAACAGATTGTTTAAAATGACAACTCTGAAGCTTCTATTGTTGTTTTCTCAAATAAAAATAGAACTAATTGCTGAGGTTGGGCACAACGTGAATGGACTAAGGATTTTGACTTCCACCTGGTGATAATGTGCCTGTTCTAACAGTTTTTGATGCGTATGCTGTAAGATATGGACATGCACATCATAAAACAGCATTATTCCAGGCAGACTGTTTTGCAAAGCCTTCACCCCACATGGGTCAGCCTGAGACTACAAACTAAAGCTGCATAGGACATAGTTAGAAAAATACTTTTACTTCCATAATAAATTACTTACTATGCAACTACAGAATCCCTGTGGCTGCTGATTAAATCAAATAAACCTCTCCATTCAACTAGTATATAACATTTTTGAAGTCATAAAAATGTGTTTCCATGGCCTTTTCTATGTAGAACGGGGCCCCATGACTTTTTTATAAACAGACTAAATGTAGTTTAGGTTTTTCAACTTTGTGCAAGTCCCAGGAGTGTTCACTGTACAACACTTTTTAAAACTGCCAAACAGAGATAAAGTACAGGCAGAGAAACAGTCTTGCCTCTGTGGCAGCTACTATCATGGCTAGGGCCAGAATATCCATTAGCTACTTTTGGGGACTGCTTTAATAACATCTAGCTTTTACATGTTTCATCTGTTACAGTATAAACACTAATGCACTGAGATATCCTAAGTCCCATGGATGTATTTACTAACAGGCAGCCTTCGTCTCAATTTAAATTCATTCTTGCACCAGAAAACCTTTTTGTATTGTACCTACAACTAAGGATACAACATCTGTAAATACACAGAATAGTCATTCAGTGACTTTTGGACACTAGAAAGGACAGGAATCTAACCCTTTAAAAATCTCATGGTTGTCATCATTGCAATTTTTATTAACCAGAGATGTTATAGCTAGATAGAGGTGGATCTCAAAAGGTTCTGTGGCTCAGAATGGAAAAAAAACCCTTCAAAGTTTGCCAATGTA